ATATTTCCTACAGCCATCTCGGCAAATTCTTTTACAACCATGTAAAAGATTTACATCTCCTGATTTTACCTCAGTGAGTGAGGCGGGGTTACCCATGAGCTTATCTGCAAAAGCTCCTAGCTGCAAAAAAACAGACGTTCTGACTTCATCCGTTTCTCTGACTCATTTGGCTGTAGTCTGCCCCTCCCACACCTGCACCTTAACACAAGGAGGGGGGTGTAATTTGGATACAAAGGTCACATTTACCTATCCGTTTGAAAAAGGCACACAATCACAGGCAGGTCGACAACAAATTAAAACAGGCCTACAGGCGATAAAACAGCAGGTGAGCATTCCCGCCCACATATCTCCGGCTAGACATTGAAGTTTATGCTAAAATTACACAATAGGAAGTATTTGGCCTACATGTCCCCGTCTTTACCGATGTATTATCAAGCTAGAACAAGCAGTTTTATGGAGCCCTTTTGAGTATTAAGAGTGCAGGACAGTGCAGCAGCAATCCTTTCAAGATTATAATCTCTTAAATCAAGGCTGTATCTCACTGCAGCTTAGATGTCGCTGCAAATCATAAAATGTGGTGAATGAATGACAGCAGACTCAAAGCTGGTGGTTCAGGGTTTAAAACAATAGAGCCTTTAATTCAAAGTTCCTCCCATTGAACAAATGGTTAACTATGCAGTTACACATGTTGCACTGGCACAGAGATAAGAAGAACTCAGATGGCATGCAGTATGCCGGATGGCAGGAATAAAAAGCAGCCAGTTGGGTTTGGGTCTACTAGTTGAAGCCCCCCTGTTTGCCTGCTAGTTTTCCAATCAGCTGCCAGAACTCAGAGAACGTCAGCTCCCCATCGTTGTTTTCGTCTATGGAGCTCATGAGCTGGTCGATCGTCCCGGGGTCGCTGGCGTTCTGTGGGGGATCACAGATTAGACACAGATCAATGTTGGACCAGTGGGAGGTGCAGCACAGACTGCCCACTTTCTGTCCCGTTTATAACCATTTCTTCATGGATGTCATTAAATTGTTTGTTTCTATCAATGCATTTAAACTTGTATTTCCTCTGTGACACACATGGTGTTAATGTTTTTATTTCTTTTTTTTCTGTGTTTTCCACAATCCACACAGGGTCACATATTCTATTACTGTACTCAAATATATATAAATGCGTAAAACCACCACTAATATGTACTAACTTACATCGTAGTGACAGTTTTTGTCAGCATCAACAAGCTTGCTCTTAGCTAAAAACATCCATGCCCTTTAACAATTTCTCTCTGAAGAAACTTCATTGGTTTGGACTCAGGAACTACCAACTGCTGGATCACCAGCGCCACTGAGCCCAGAATCCAAAACCAACACATTTAAGCTCCAGAGCTTAGAGCTGTTCAACTTAACACACAGAGTAAATAAGGATTTGTTGTCTAGTAAAACAAATATTTAACTTTTTGGGCAAAATTAACATGGGATATTTTTCTTAATGTAAGTTAGAAAAAGGAATGGTATAAAACAAACAGGGGAACAGCTTCATATCAGATCAACAACTAGATGGTTGGAAATTTGTTCCAACACTAGCTGTTATAACAGAGCAATAATTCCCAGTTTACCAGAATGGGTGCTGAAAGCAGGGAAATGGCAAATGGCAAGTACTTATATAGCACTTTTTCAAGTCAGGAGTCTTGACCAAAACGCTTCACACTACATTCATGCATTCACTCACATGCTCACACACTGATGGTGGCAAAATGCATTGTAGCCACAGCTGCCCTGGGGCTCACTGACAGAAGCGGGCCTTCTGACCACCATCAGTGGGCAATGCAGGTGAAGTGTGCTGCCCAAGGACACAAGGACACTGAAAGCCGGAGCTGGCACTCAAAACGTCAACCCTCCAATGAGCTTTATGCACAGCTCCACTACTTCCTGAATTTAAGGTAGCTCCTTTGTTTCCTGTCTTTCATTACTGGACGGACTGATTAATTCAGGTGTGTCTGGCCAGTTACATAGGTCATACACACTTGGATTAATCAGTGCATCCAATCATGAAAGACAGGAAACAAAGGAGCCTCCTGAAGTTCAGGAAGTGGTGGAGTTGTGCATAGAGCCAATTGCAGGGCAAACTGCTGCACCAGACACCACTGTCGCCCTTAAAAATTAGACTCCTGGGATGTTCCCTGGATTTCCTCATAGACTACAGTATATACTTTGAATCCAGATCAGTGGTAACCACTGTAAATGATAAATTACACCAGAGGCTAGTTGACTGCTTATGGCAGCGGTCACTTTGCTAAGGAACATCTAGATATTACGAGTAATGTAGGCTTATATTCTGACCCGTCTGTGTAATATGGACCCTATGTGGATTAAAGATCCCTAAACCTGTGCAGAATTTCTTTTGAAGGTTTTTAGAATGTGCTCTAAGTTGTTAGTTGCATCTTAAGCCTGACCTGGAGAAAAAAAGCATTTCAAATTTATAAGATCAGTGAACCTCTAACTATAATAATATGTCAGCAGGAGGTGGCCAAACACCTACAACACTTGGAAATCAGTTGAATGTTAGGAATAGGTTCTATATTATAATAAAAAGATTGTAATAACTATGTTTCAGATTTTTTATTGCATTGAAATTACTAACTAAATATGTTGTTAAACACAGACAAATCCCCCAAAAAAACATATAATGAGAAAACCATGCAGGTAAAAGGTTTTTGGTTCAAACTTATGTTGGTATCACTGGTTTCAGATTTCCAGATGATTCCCATGATGTAGACATAATGGAAGAACTGCTCAACACCTATATTGACCTTTGCTTTTGAAAAATATAAAAAGCCTTCAACAATTGTCTAATATAAATGAAAACATCAAAAATAAGCTAAGAGAGACAATATCGACAATTAAAGAGACAAACCTTGACAAAGTTGGGAAGTTGGGAGGTCACCAGCTTATGGAACTCATCTTTACTCAGCGTGGTGGAGGATCCTTCATTCCCAGCGTACATCTTGAACTGGCTGACAATGGTGGTGATGGCAGCTTCCATGGTCGCTTTTACTGCAAATAAAATTTAAAAAATCTGTCAAAACTGAGGATGCATACGTATAAAAGCAGATAGAGAATTGCAATCAGCAGCTGAAGTGTTACCTTAATGGGGTTAGACTCAGTGTGTCAAGCTGCAGGAGATCCTTTCCTCTTCATCCCTGCCCATCTCCTCTAAATATACGTGCTTCATCTCCATCACTGGTGCACACATCAGCAGAAAACACCTCCTCATCACTCCCCTCCTGCCCTGCAGGCTGCCCTCATCGCTGTCTGATTTCCATGACATCAAAAACAGAAAAAAAGGAAAAAAAAAAAAACTGCCACTCTGACCTACTAAAGGTCACAGCTAGTACTGACGACTGGACAAAACACTGCTTGAGTCGCTCTGCAGAGTGAGGGATTCAGAGATAGCATCAGGCGAATCCAATCAACTGACTGAATCATGCATTTCTAAGCAGTAATTAGTTTATACAAAACATGACTCAAATGAAGGTACCAGGGGTTAAAACACACCCTCTGTTGTCTGAATCCCAACTGCAAATACTCAAAGTTCAGCCATGAATCATGCCTTTTTTTGTGTTTTTGCTGCACAGACCCGTTAATCTATATCTAGATTGTTAACATCAGAGACCATCACAGGGGGAGCACAGATCTCTGCTGAAACACCTCTGATCTGGCTGGTTGTAGAATTCAGAGAATGTCAGGCTCCGTCTGCTCTTTCGTAATGACCGACCAGTTCTCGTTCATCAGCATATCAGCTGGGTGATATCAGCCGAAGCCCAGATGCGATACATGCCATTGTTCTAGCAAGCGCTCATTCATAGAACTGAGTCTGAGTGTAAACATTTCAGTCTGGCAACATGGTTGTGATAATAGATGCCATTCATGCCATCAGCTCTTGTTCTCAGCACAGTGACTCAGATGCAGGGTGTCACACAGGCTTGGGTGACTTTCTTTTTAGAGCTAAACCCGTCACACAGAGAAGATCCGGTCTTTTTAACATGGGGAATACCAGACTCTGTTCTGGTCAGTTTATCTATGCTCTTAATGCTTGACGAGGCACAGCTGTAATTTAATTTGGGGGCTTTAATGATGAACACAAAGCCCCGTCTCCAGCTTGGAATAATTATTCAAAAAACAAGATTTGACTGCAAGAAAGGCAATTCTTTGGGGATTTTATCAAATCCACGCAGGATCTTGCAGGATCAGGTTCTTAACAGGCTTTTGATTGGCATGTAGCTTCTGTTTACTGCTGTATTAGAGATATGCTTTTCAACACTAACTGGATTTAATAATACTGGAGAATTCATAGAGAAACAAGGAGTCTCCAGAGCTGGAAAAGTCTGGAAACTTTTGGAAACAAGAGAAATGTCTCCAGAAAAAAAAAAAGTTTAATAGATGAAAATAAGATTTTAAACGTCATCACACTTTACAAGCACGGTGGTAGCAGCATGATGCTCATGGAGGAATTCTTACACAAAGTGGAGAAAATAAACTTGAGGACCTTGAGATGAACCAATTTTACCTAAAATTGACTAGATGGAAAATTGTACAAAGAGCAAAAATTAAGCTAATATTAAAAACTAATATCGATGCTTTCAAAAGCATAGTGAGGGAAACATTTCCCTCAATTATCGCATATTCCAACCTGTTTGTGGATCTGATCTGAGCACTGGCAAGATATATAACTCACCAGTTTTTGCTTAGTTTGATCATGAGAAGAATCAAAACCCACTTCATGATTTTAAAACCTAGGTGGAGTCCAGACTCAAACTTTGGGCTTCGATGGTACGACAATTGGGAACAACCCAGATTTATTAATTAATCCCGGTTCATGGTTTTCTAACCAACCAAATTGTTTTCTCCAATATAGCTCTACAATAACAGCCCCCCCAAAAACCTTTAGGCACTTAATCTTTTGAAAAAACCCCAAAGAAAATTCAGACATAATGGTGACAAATGTATTGAAATCAATGTTTATTTCACATAAACAGGACACAACTGATGATGATAGAATTTATAGGTGCCCTGACGTTATATCCATTCATCTCCAGGTCCTGCCCTATTGTTGCCAAACAGACAGAAATACTCTCAAATATTAACTAAACTCTTACTTTAATTCGTGCTACGAGGATTCCCTCAAACCCTTTAGGTTGGGAGATCTTCAGAAATAAACCAGTACAACGTCTCATCTGTAAAAACTCTGCAACATTCACTTCATGTTCTATCAACAGCAGGACAAATTAAAGTTGCGTAAACTTCTTCTTCTAGTAGAAGGAAAGGAAATCAGAGACCTCTGGTCCATTCTGAGATATTCATTGTGAGAAAGGCACATAAGCAGCAGCTCCTACATCAAGTAAATCAAAGCTGCTTTAACATTCAGCGTGAACAGCCTGGGACCAAGTCTGTCGCTCCTTTGATAAAGAAATAAAAGTGACAGAATAAATAATCAGGAAACACAACAAAGCTTCTTTTAACAATCACAATCTGCCAACTTTTCACTTTGACATCAACATAAAGAGGAACTGGTGAAATCAAAAGGATACCTTATTTTTGGGCTTGATTTTGTGCTGTTTTTTTTTTTTTTCCTTTTGCCCAAAAATATGAAAAGTCTTTTTTTTATTCTTATTTAAATTCTGGAAACTACATCTAAATCAGCTGCATGCAAGTCAACTCAAACCTATTTCTGAATGAAACGGGGGGTGGAGGGGTGTAGAACGTAATCTGGAGCATTAACAGATGAAGTGAAGGGGCTTCTTCTGGGATTACTAATTTATAATTGTACTTGTGCGCTGGGAAAGAAGAGCCCCTTCACAAGAAACGGTGAGAAGTAATCGCCATGTTTGACGAAAAGTGCTAAAGTGGTCAAGAAGTGTTGAATCTGTGGTATTGCTTTTTCTCTAGGAGCAGAAGTCAAATAAACAGATCTGGGGCAAGTCAGGTTAACAGAAAATGCTTGAGGCTCATAAACAGGTCTCTCTCTTTCTCCGTTTGTTTGCTGAAAAAAAAAAAAAATGCTGACAAAGAAACCAGTCAGACCTGATCTGATAAAAATCGCAGAACACAGCAGGATGCCCTCCTCTGGGACCGGACTTATAGGGGACTGATGATTAGGTTGATTATCTGGGTAATACTGATCGAATGCTCCCAGTCTGGTCTGGGTTTAAATTCACATCAATGCTACATGCACCAATTAGAGCAAGAAAGAAAAAAAAAGAAATAAAATTCACACAGCAGGTTACTCTGAAACAGGAGCCATGACCCGGACAGAGGTAGGTAACAACAACTAAGCCCAAAATGGCAAACACAGTATAGCTTATAATAAGAGACTCTGAGAGACACATTAAGGAGTCTGTTCCAAAAGCTACAACAATCACAGCTCAGAGGAGAAGTTAAGGAAATGTCCTACAAAACCATCATCAGCAATGTCCTTCTTGGGTTTTAATGCTTTGAAATCCTTCTTTTAAGCTGTGGCTGCAAACTTCCACAGGGCCTCCCGCTCAAACTCCTCCATCTCCTCCTCCAGGGAGTCATTGTCCTTCTGTCCACCACCCTCCAATACATCCACCATGTCTTCCAGGACATCTGCAACGTCCTCAGCAAAGTCCCCGAAGCGCACCCTGTCATGGATGAAGACGCCGTCCTCGAAGAAGTCAGCAGTCAGCTTGCGGATCTTATCCTTCCCGTCGTTGGAGGAGCCTTCCAGCTTGCTCAGGTAGCCCTCCAGCAGCTCCTCAAACTCGGACAGCTCCACGGGGTAGAGCCCCTCCTTAGTGGCGCAGTCCTCCACGGAGGTGCAGCCCAGCTGCGGACGGACGTTGCGATGGAGCTTGAGCTCCTGGTCTCTCCAGAAGTCGTTGTGGTTGTGCTGCTGAGGCTGCCGGGTCTGCTGATGATGATGGGGAGAGTTTTTACCCGGCCGGCTGTGCCACGGCTTCTCCTTCCTCCTTTCCTCTCGGTCCATCCTGCGCTCGCCCTTTTTCCTCTGCCAGTCGTCCTGGTTCTTCCTCCACGCTTCTTTGTGAGAGTTTTCCTTTTGGGGTTTCCCCTCCTTTTCTTTCTTCTCCTCTTTGCCGTGCTTCCACTCCTTCTTTTGCTCCTTCTTCCAGTGGTCTCGCTCCTGTTTTTTGTCCCTTTTTCCTTTCCATTTTGGCCCCTGTGGCTTCGTCTTCTCCCACCTCTCAACTTGTTCTGAGAGTTTCTTCTGGATTCCTTCTAAGTTCTCCCAAACTTGTTTTCCATCACCTCCATCCTTTCTCATCCCTTCCAGTCTTTTCTTGCTTTCTTCTAACAGGACTTTCTGACGGTGAAGCTCTTCCTTCAGCTTTCCATCCTTTCTCCACTCTGGTCCAGCTGCTTTATGGGAACTCTGAGCATCTTCAGCATTCGGCTGAGAAGCGGGGCTGGAAGCAGGCGACACCGTTCCTGCATCAAATTAAGAAAAACAAAAGGCGTTTAGGTTTCAGAGGTGGTCCCAGTACCCCAAAAAAATAAATGCAAGATGAAATATTTACGGTTGAACCTAAGAAGGAATAAATGCTTTGGCAGAAAAAAAGACAACCCTATGACATAAAAATAAAAAATAAAAATACAGTTTCATTTAAATTTCTATTTTTATTCTTCCTAAGATCATAGAACGTTCTTTTAACCCACTAAACAGTCATAAACATCCTTCAGCTAAAGCCACAGTTTGCAGAAAGGACCAAAATGGTCTTATTGTGAAAATTGAGCAATCAGGATAAGGCTATGAAGAAGCATTACATAATAATTGGTTTTAATGTGAAACTATATGCTGCAAAGGTCAGGAAGTCTGCTAAGAATCTATTGTTTTCTACAATCGCATTCAATGAGTTGGAATATAAATAAAAGATAAATTTATTTTAGTAACTAAATTCACCACATTGTATAGATTTCAAATAAGGATTTTTGGGTGGACAGCTGGTTAATTGAGGCCATGTTTCTTCCAGCCCATCCATCAATTCATTGCTTTAAAGGTATAGTGGAGGATGTTCTGTTTCCGGGCGGATCATCAAAATAAGTGGCCCTAATTGTCAATCATAAAGGTGGTATGTTTACGCAAGGCCGTCCTACGTGCTCGTCCCCAGTTATATGTGTGGTTTCTCACCGCGGTTCTTTGAAAATGACCGGGATCATAAGAGAAAAAGTGTCTACGAAGTGCATGAGAAGAAAAGAAAGGCCTCAGAAGAAGCAGATATATCCCCTAATGCTTTGCGTTAAGAGATCTCCTCGCAAAGCATTATGGGAATTGCTGTCACAGCGGCCCGCTGCCACCATAGGCTGTCGCTACCCGACAGCGGCGACTAATAACAAAGATGATGCAGGTATCACGCAGTGAAGGAGCAGTTATGTGACCAACCGGAGGAAAAAATAGTGATCATCGAGTTTGCTATAAAGTCCACTATATAGTGCCTGCTCTATATAGTGATTGAGGGATTTAGGGGTTAATGTGGACATTCGTACACAGTAAGCTTGTATGAGCAACTTTTAAATTCACACACCTTTTTTAAAGTGGAGAGGGCTGGACTTTTAAAGAAATTTGCAAAAATCCTCCACAATACCGTTAAAGACGTTTCTGTGGTCGCCTCAACCTCTGAGTTGTTATAACACCAATCTGTACCGTTAACTATCCCTGAAAACCTGAATAAATATAAAGCTTACCCTTAGAAAGTCAGCTGGTAGGAACCTAAAAATGCTGCTTAAAAAAACCACATATGCTACAGCCTTTATATTACCAACACTCTTATGACCAATCTGGATTTTGAAGTGATCAACTTTGGGATTTGTTTTTCTCAAAACCAACACGACGACCGCCGCATCCTTGGCTGCGTTTAAATACAACCAATCAAATATTTGGATTTCAAAGTTTCCCCTGCTTGCCTATATTTATGTTTGGATTCACATAAATCCAGCCCGCCCCTAAAAAGGCTAGAATTACTAGTGTAACCAGTTAGTCTGGGGAATGTTTATAAGCTTACTAATGAGCTGCCATGAGCAAATATCCGTTTAACAGTTTGCAGCAACAGCTACGTATCTCTATGATTTAATTTAATTTTGTCCTATATTTCCAGTTGTAAAGCTTATTAGATGGAAAACTTTGTAGCCTAGAATCAAATGTACATCAAAAAAAGTATTAGTTAAGGATGTAGAACAAAAGAATCGCGAGAGTGACTGGGAAAAAAATGCTTTGATTTATCATGTTCTCCTTTTTTTTTACATCACATAAAACCTGCTTTTCTAACAGGGATGTGTAGATTCTACATTAACAGGATATAAACACATAATTAAGCAGCCATACCTGTGAGCTGGCTGAGTTCGGTCACTCTCGCCCGGAGACTCTCCAGCTCTTTCTTCAGCTCAGGCAGGACCGACAGCTCCTCCTTCAGCTTTGAGTTTTCTTCTTCCAAGTCTGCTTTACCCCGTTCATCGCCACTCTCAGCCACCGCCTTCATCTCCGTGTCAAGTTCGTCTTTCTTAGACTGAGGCAGAAGGAAAAAATGAGACATGTTATAAAGATGCTGCTGGAATCCAAAAGCTGCAGATGTAAATAAAAAGCATTGATTGAGAAAACTACACTTTAAAGTTTCTTTTTTTTTTTTAAGAGTGGATGAAGGTAAACAATAAAAGTCAAAAGATGTGCACACTGACTTGTAGTTGAACCTCCAGCTGAGTGATCTGCTGGTTTTCCTCTGTTAGTTTATCCAGCAGCTCTTTCATATCCTGTGGATCTCCGCTAATCCAGTCCTGAAGAGAAATTCATGGGTGTGTGAATAGAATGCATATTTTTAAAAACATTCTTTTTATTTTCTTTTACTATTTATCTGTGCAGGTTCAAAACTGAAGTACGAATCAGATATATACTGAACATTGAGGAAGTGAGACTAAAGGAATAACCGGACCTGGTTTTGTTCTCCATCGCTCAACTCAGGTCCGTCGATGTCCCCTGCAAAACAAGAGAACACATATGTTACATATATTTGTTAAAAAATATGCTTAATGTCCACAAATGGCTTCCATTAAATCCTACATCCTGCATATATTTGCCTAGAATTTCACATTTCCTGAAAGGGAATTCATAAACCTTCCAACATTTATTTGCCTGATATCAAACCACACCCTCATGAATTTGTGAATGCCCCCCAAACAGCAGCTAAAGGCGTCACTCTCCACCTCAGTGTCATTTGTTCTTTTCCTGCTGTCGCTGCAGCAGCCGTCATCCTAAATAAATCTTCCGACAATCTACTAAGTGTTGGTGGGTGAGGGCACAAGCTTACACTGCGCTCTTATCTTTGACGCTGCACCTACCATTATCCAGGTCAGAGAGGAAACCTGTTGACATAACGCAGCTAAGTCAACAAGAATTAAAAACGGACATCAGAGTGTTGCTGACGACTGCAAATAAATATGCTTATGTAACTCAAATTCAGTTGTTGTCAAATAGGGAGTGCGTGAAACTCGGAGGCGGTCCAACCTCTGCTGTAACGGGTTTAAACCCATGAACATGAATAATATCTACAAAAAGAACGCTCTGATGTAAAATATATAAAATAGTTAATAGATCAGTTTTTATGTTTGCATAAATGTTGCTAATAGGGGAACAACACTTTGGAAAAGTTTAGATATGTTAAAGTATTTCAAAATTATATAAAGAAAAAAAAAAACACTCCATGATTTCATTTAAAAACACTTTGAGGTTCACAGTGACCATTTTACCCATCAAAACCTTAAAATATCCTTATTTTTGTTATATAATAGTTTTAAAGCTTCAGTGCTCATTATGTTCCTGATTTTTTATTTATTTTTATTTTTTTTAAATGGCACAAAACTTAACTTCCTTCTAAAGCCTAAACATGCCAGCAGTACTAGCTATTGTATTTAAGAATTAAATTTGATTACATACCATTTTATTTGAATCTGACATTAATATTTATATAATTTTAAAATATATTTTTTAAATGTATTCTTCATCATTGGATCTTCATGTGGAGAATTTACCAAAATAAAGTGATAGATTGATTGATTGGATACAAATTGAACCCGAATAACTAGCTGGACTGGAGTCACAACATCGATGCTCCTTACAGTAAGGTGGGGGGGGTTTCCTTAGGATTTTTATTGACTCCGTTTTTGCATCAGCCATCTTTTTAGATGTAGATTGTTGGTACAGTAGCTTATCTACCACTGACAGTAAGGGGTTACTTGGTTAGCTCATCGTTAAGGCCAGCTCCGACAACTCCCAACATCAGTGGCAAACCGCTGCACCCTAGGGCCACAAAGGAGCGTTATCGCAGCTCTTTCCTCCTAGAAGCCGTGCAAATTTATAACCATCCCTGCTTCAAACAAATTCAATAAGTTGTTAATATAGCTGCTGTCTTTTGCAAGGCTTTCCATATTTCAGTTTGCTGTTGTTTTTTACCCCTAATTATACAAAATTTGTAGGGCTGAAACAACTACCGGTAATCGGATTAATCGCGATTAATCGACTATTGAAATAATTATGAACTAATATAGTAATCTATTAATCATTAACTTGAATGTAGAGACTCTAAAACATCCTTTAGCTGACAGAGCAACCCAAGTAGAGCAGTAATTACACCAAGATTGTAAAAATATTAAACATTTTGAATTTAAGATTTTAAAAAAAGGTTTTCATCTGTCAATATTCTCCATTCAGAACTCTTCAAGTGGAAAAGTTTTAGTTTCACCTGGTTTAATTTTTTATTTTAAAGTCTTCTTTAAGGAACCTTTGACTATCAGATTATTAATTGATGAATCAAAATAATAACTTACAGATTAATCCATTTGCAAAATAATTGTTAGTTGCAGCCTTTGCAGGTTTTGAGAGCAATAAGGAAAGATGTAAAATCTTTACCTTAAACGTTTCTCAACAAAGGAGCAAATTGTTGCGAAATGTTTTCCAATTTTCTCTAACAGATGAAAACAGAGAAATAAAAAACACTTGTTTTTTCTTTAAATCAAGAAAAATGCTGTGTCAATTTTTTTTTAAACTTCAGAACATACAAGTTTTTTTATTTTTTATTTTATCTTACAGCTGGCTCATTTATTAAAGCTGAAAAGCATTCCTCTGCTCCCCAGTGAACAAAATGTGAGATTTATTTTTCCACAAGGAGCACTGCTGAAATACATTACACTAAATATAACATTAAATTATTATCTTTGATGGCCTGGGTAGAAATAGATTAAAAACAAAGCTCTTTTGGAGGTTTCTTAGCACTCAGGAAAAACTATCCATCTCAACAGAAGAACATTTAGACAAAGACTAATTCCTTGCACCAAATTCCTCGAGTCAAGCTTCTTTTGGATGAAATAAAGAAAAAATGATTGTTTGTAGAGGCACTTTCTACCTCAGGGTATGTCTCTATCAGCTTGGAACTTCTAGAAACTAAGATTTTTTTTTAAATCTTAATCAGAGATTTGAGTCTGGACTTGGACTAGGCTGCTGTATAGCTGTGGCTGGATGTTTAAGGTTGTATTTCTGCTATAAGGTAAACTTCCACCACTTTCCCAAGGTCTCTTGCAGCCTCAGACAGATTTTCTTTTGGGATTGTCCAACATTCAGATCCATCCATCTTCTCTTTAACTCTAGACAGCTTTATTTCTGTGCTAAAGTAAAGGAGCCTCACACAAACATGCTAACAATACACACAACGTTTTATATGTAGGCAGATCAATCTTATCACGTGTGCCAAGTCTCTACATATCAAGCTCCGTGTCTTACCCAGGTGTGGTTCATCAGCATCCGAGGCTACAGCTCTACAGTCTACCCAGCCTAGACCCGCCTACTTAATGTGATGTGTGCAATGTCATAAAATCCTAAAAAGGCAGCAGGATAGAAATATTTTGCCAGCCACTGAATTTAGTTGCATACAAAAACATTAAAATCATGCTTAACATAAAATTAGTCACTGTATTCAAAAACTGTATAACTGTAGAAAACCCGTTTGAAAGCACAAAGCTTTAGAAAAGAAAGAACCATCTATGATGAGTCCTGCAGAAAGGGAACTCACCTGACAAAAACAGGGAACCTAAGAAGAGCAGGACCAAAGCAGCAACGATACATTTGTTCATGGAGAACCACGGTTTCTCCTCCTTTCTCTCCGCCATTTTAAACTCGACCTCCTCTTCGTCATCCTCCTCATCAGAGGTTCTCGGCCTTGGCGCTTCAAAGGAGGGAACATTCCTCCTTCTCAGTCCGTCATCAAAGCCACTCGTGTCGCCCAACTCCAAGCTGCTGGACTGGTCTGAAAAGAGGCAGGAGCGTTACTGGTAACGGGCTGCGAACATGAAAACAGGAGACAGTGACAGCAGGGCCTTTGTGCAAATTTGAACCGCAAATACTCTGCAGTGCCTTCAAACCACTTCAATAAATCATTCCAGCATGCTAAACTGTTGCTGCTGAAGACATTTCCAATTTTATAACTATCTGCTGGCAGACTGCCTGACAAAAAGAAAGAAATACAGCAAATTTATTGAATGCATGAAATGCAAAACAAAGGAAATTTGCAAACTGCTGATTGCAAATTTGCTGCTTGTGGAAGTGGATGACATTTTTCCCCCCCATCTAAATTACAGCCACATTAATTTCATGCTTGAGGGTTTATTCATTTTCTCAGCAGGGTGGGGGCCTCACTGTCAGGAAAATAAATCACATTCCAGATGTTAACATGACGCAGATAAAAAGTGTGCTCACAAATCTTCACAGTTAGTCTCTTCTTGTTCTCGTCTAAAGAAGCAGAATAAAGCTCTGCAGATCTGCTGCAGCATTTATTGGTAAAAGCCATCATCTGGAGCCCAGATCTGTTCCAAGTGCAACAGAAGCTTCTTAAATTAACACACTTAATAGTCTGTGTTTATGCAAGATTATTACGTATATTAAGCTGCTAAAGTACTTGGAATCCAACAGGTATTAAAGAAAAATTAGGATATTTCTAAGTGAGATTTTAGAGTTGATATTAGTAGTCAGACACAGCCTGCTTTCAATAAATCAGTTGAGAGACTGCTGCCAAAACACGGGCCATGACTGCCCCAATAAGGTCAAGTAAAAGAGGCAAAACTCCACTGCCATGTCAGCCACTTATAGCAGATTAAATCAGTTTTAATTACAGTTTTTCATGAGGTAATTGCTAAGTTCTTGATCTCATGGAATAGGTGATATTTAGGAATCCTGAGAGGACACCAACATACCTTCCTCATCCTCATCCAAGTTCAGGGCCTCCGATGGTCCTTCCTCCTTCTCAGCATCAGCCTCGTCTTCTTCTGTCTCAGCAGAGCCAACGGTCTCCGGGTCAGGGCTTCCCCCATGTTCTGCCATCAGTCTTTCTGGGACTGGGCTCGGAGGCTCCGTGCTCTCTGGACCAAAGCCGACCTCATCTCCAACATGAGGTGGGGGTCCAGCGGCTGTAAGGTTCTCTGTGGGGATGTTGACCTCGGGTTCAGAGCTTGAGACATCACTCCCAGCAGCAGGACTCGTAGGCATTGGCCCAGAATCAGCAGGAGTGTGGAGCACAGGCTCAGCGGGGGAGGTGGTCTCAGCCATGCGAGTGGCGGGGGAAGACACTGTGGAGTCTGCTAGGGGAATATCAACTGCTGGGATGTCTAGCTGAGCTTCCAAATCAATGCTGGTGACCAAAGGCATGACGCCTTGAGGCTCGTTGTCGCTGGGAGAGGTGGTTACGATATCGTGGATGACGGGGGGCTGACTCTCTGCGTCGAGCAATGAGGAATCGAGAGGGTTTGAGGGGAGAGGGCTTAATCTGGAAGGACTAGAAGGGACGGGACCCTCACTGGATCCTGGGGAAGTTTCTTGACAAACCTGGACATGGAAGAAACTGATCTTTTATGGTTTTACCTTTAAATCTTACCACTGAACTCAACTTATCTCAGCATTTTATGATGGAGACTGATGTTCTATCTAAATGTTTGCCTCCCAACAATTTAAACGGCTTATTGACTGTACCAACCTGGTGCCCTTCTTCAGACAGGACAGTTTCTACTGGAAGGTCAGCTGGTTTATACTCTGCAGCAGCTCCTGAAAACAAAGTCCATGTAATGTCAATACAGAAGGAGGGGGTCATTTATGTCTTAGGTACCACTATAGACTAGTCAGTACCTGCCACCTCCTCAGACAGACTGGGGGCATCACCCAAACTCTCAGTGCCGTCGTCTGTTGGCCCGACATTCTCAATGGCTGCCTCCTGTGGAGAGAGAAGACCCAACAGGACATCTAAGAAGCTCAACGGTGGCAATGACATTAACAGAAAGAAACACTTGCAGACGCATCCATTAGGGCGGCATATAGCACATTTGTTCAAAAGGCGTTAAAATAAACGCCTCTTTTATTGCAGTAGCAACATTTCAAAGACATAAAAAAAAAAAATCTAAACTTTAACTGCATGCTTGGTCATCCCTTATACGTTCTCTTCAAACTCCTTGACAGCTTTTTCTCTGAAGGGAATAATGTTTTGACTAGGCCACATGTTTTGGATCATTAGAGATACAGTAAGCAAGCAGCCACTTTGAAGGTTTCTGGCTTTACCCAGTTTTTATTCGGGGTATTTTAAAGTAATCCTGCTGAACTCTCACATTAAAATGACATGAAGCTTTGGAAGAGCTACAACCTAACAACATACTTCACAGCGGGTGTTTTCACACATGCATTCTTTGTCTCAAAACGAAACTAAATAGATTGTTTGAAGCCAAAAACATAATTTTTAAGGCTCAACTGAAAAAAGCACACAGTCCCAGTTAAAAATGCAGTAAGGTTTAGCAAATCATAGATTATTATTATTTTTTCATAGGACAAAAAAAAGACCTGCTTCTCGCATGCTTCCCAAATAAACAGTCAGTATTTAGGTGGCAATCTTACCTTTGTTATGACTTAGTTTGAACCACTTCATAATATTTTCTAACATTTATTAGTGGGGAATGTTGCTCCTGCACTGAAAGGCTTTGAATGCTTGTTTTAGTTCTAGTAGGGTAACATTAAGGAGGTGGCTAACTAGCATTTTTCTTTAGATCTATGCTTTGGTTACTTCAGAAAGACAAAAAAAATATATAAAAAATAAAAATAAAATAATAATAACTAATACTTAATAGTTTTTGAAACTTTCAGCGATATATTTTGTATTGCAGACATTAAAAGCACACAAACACTCAGCCACCCAGCAGTGGGTACACCTTGCAGCCTTGTTTACACTTAAGGCAGACTCAATTAAGACAGCTACTACATTCCTTAAGAGTAACAGATAGGAGCGGTTTTCTTTCATACTCAGTCTTTTGTAAGGCTTATGACTCATAATTTGTTTTTCTTGAAGACATCCGCAAGACGTTTCCGTTTAAAAGAAGGCTCGGGGTTACAAGTTTAGACAGGAAACGTTGTAAATGAACTTGGATTGACGAGCCAGATTGACATGACACTTGAGATGATGTCTTAATAAACAACATCTCTCCGCCAGGAAGAGCATCGCCTCCTCTAACTAGGGCAAGATAAATATTCATATGTTTCCTAATCCTCAAGATGAATAAATCAACCATCTCTCAAAAATATTCTTTTTATTTCTATTTGATATTTCAGACATCTTAAAAGTGCATAATTTATTAAGAAACAAAGTTAGCAGACTTAGGAAAAGTGTTGTAACGACCCTTTCCGGATATTGCTACGCGAATAAGAATTTCTGCTGTGTTCGTTGTAGAAATTAGGCCTTTAAGAATAGTTTCTTTGAACTTGAAATGATCAAGATGTAGATCCCTGCATCAACATCCAGAGTACATTTTAAAACTAAGGAGAGAGATCAGACATACACTGGTATTGGATGATATTAAGAGTTTTTTTGTATCGGTGTTGGCCAATATATGAATGCCTTGGCTGATTCATTAGTGCAGTGGTCCCTAATTAGTGGTGGGCGTCCCCTAGGGGTGGTGTAGTGTAATTGAAGAAGGTGTGGTAGAAATTAGTGTAATAAATGTCAGAGTTTGACAGTTTTTTTGTTCAATTTATTGATAGCAATTTCAAATCCTGTAAACTAATTAGCTAACCTTCAAATAATTCTACTTTAAATTAATAAAACTACAAACTTTAAAAGACAATTGTATTTTATTTTATTGCAACATTTAATTTAACGTTGTTGAATTTTCTTTGTTTGAATGAAAGGGCACAAAAACATTCTAGTAAACACAAAGGAAAGTTTAGGTTCATTCAGCAGTATGGCTAATACCCCCGTCTGCTATCTAATTTTTTAAAGTTTTATTTGATTTAATATTATAAATGTTTGTTTTTGGTTTAAACTGATACTTGTTTAAAGTTTAATACTGCTTTATTTTGATCATGCATGTGGGGGAAGAAAAAGCAACATCGGTTTTAAAGAATAACCCCGAAAAATAATCAGCAGCACATATCCAGGATCGATGGGACTCAATAAGACATTTTAAAAAGTGGTCACAAATACGAGAAATAAATTAGGAAAAGTGTTTGAAACTTGAATCTTAAAATTCTGTAGTAAAGTTGTGGTCAACTAGTTGCTCTTAGCCTGTTTTCAGTTGATGTGGACCTGTTTAAACTGGTACCTGGACCTGTTTGCGGTCTGTCCTGGACACATTTCCAAAAAGTTTTGTGTTAAAAAGACCAGCCGAATAAATCTATAGTGAGCCAATTTTCACCTTGCATTTGAAAAACATCCATAGTCACATTGGTTTGATGCATAAGTTTGATTTTTCAAATTCTAATTTTTTTTATTTTAATGCATGACAACATACAATTTACTGTTTTTGTGTTAAAAATTATTTGATTTACTTATTCATTAATTAAGTGGATACTCGGCCACATCATTAAGTCATTTCTGATTATGCATAAAACCACTTTTGGGAATCTTTAAAAAGGTGGCTTTTCTGTTTGTTTGTTTTTTTTTTGTTTTTTTTGCATTTTGGGCCTGAGCAAATTTATAGTTGTCCTATCATGGCAACAACCAACCACAAACAGGCTTAAACTGACAATGAGTCATGGACAGGCAGTGAGAAGGTAATAGTGTGGATCAAAGCGAGACTTGTGAAAAAGCCCCACCTATTCACTCATTTGTTCACGAGCAAGATATAATAGCAGATGTATTGACCTATTTTCCTTTAAATCAGATGATTTACACACTAACTCATACTAAACTTTAATTATTTTTTTAAATGCTACCATCTGGAAAGTCATTATAGCCAATCATGTTAATACGTGAGCACTTTTCTGCAGAAACATGTTGAAATGATCTCAATTGTGAGTTATGTGAAGATGGAAACTCTCCAAAATTAATACAAAGTTAAGTTAAAACTCCAGGAAAAACTTCAAATAAGCACAGCTCTTTTGTGAGGAAAAAAACAAACCCAAATATTTCAGGACAAACTTTAGCCTCTTTGTGCAGAAAATAGTTGCAACACTTCTTGAAATTATGTTTGGTGGCTGTGTTGCCCCATTCTGGTTCTGGATGTTAAACACACAGTGCAACTGTCTTTGTGGGAGACCTGCCGAAGACCATCAAGTCTGCCTCTTCTTTTGATTTAGACCTAATATCAACTAAATGCCTCAAATTTTAGAAGATATTTTAAATAATTCGATTTCTGTATATTACCTGTGTCTGTTATTACCATAGTACAAACAGGGAGTCAGTCTGGGTGGGCTTATAGGGAAAAATCATTAATGTAAATATTACAAAAATAAATGACAAATGACAGTTCTGACAATTAGGCAGATTAAACTTTTTTTCCCCTTGGTGCAACTAGGATAATCAAAATAAATCATTTTTGATAATTCACAAAATAATAAGAAACACTGAGAAATAGTTTACTAAAATCTAAAATATCAAAAGCTTACATACACCAAGATTACGCTTTCTATAAAAATTGATATTTCCTGTATTTCTTTGATATTGGGGACTGCAAAGATGATTCCAGATTATATAAAATGAAAATACCTATCAGAGGTACCTATCATCAACAACAAACTGGAACTGGCACAAAAACAATGTGGTTTATTATGCAAATCAATATACTAACATTAAAGATGATAAGAACAGAGTTCAAGCAGAAATTGATTTTTTTTGTTTTATGGAGTAAAGGGAAAATTATGAGTCTCTGGAAGTCATCTAGGATTCTTCAGTGAAATCATAGATAAATAACTATTTTAATAAAAACTTATTAAACAATTAGTACTTGTAAATATCAATTTTATGTGAATGATTACTAATAAAAGTATGTAAGTAATGACAATGGAAAAGATGTTAGCCCAAAACTGAAACCTGTTTGAACAGTGTAGATTGATCGTGAGGTTTTGGTGCCTATCTACTTTCGGGCCTCAGTGTACACTGGTTATTGCCTGGCCACCCTCATAAAAATATTCTGGCTACGCCTCTGGGCAGAAAGTCTTGACTATGATTTTAATAACACTGAAAAACATATATAGTAGCTTTAAGTAGGAAGAAAATTGTGAAATCATTAATAATGCAAAACATGATCATGCCTTCCTGCCTGGAAAAGCTTACCTCTGGTGAGAGGAGGGTCCAGCTGTTGGTGGAGGAGCCAGTGCTTCCTGTGCTGTTGCTGGTGTCAGACATCGCCCTCTGGAGGCTAAGATTGGCACAGCAGCAGACAGATTCACCTTTATAATATCCTGCACATGACGACAGCAACAACGTTCCCTTCGTAAACGTGTCGATGTTAAATTGTATTATCATACAAAATGTCTCTAACACAAAAAGCTGCTATACATGCACACTGTATATATATTTTTTAAATACTTGTAAATAGTGTGTAGGGATTTGAACTGAGATAGTTTACCAAAAAAATACAAAATGCCTCTTGCATGGAGTATTGTAAGTAGGTGTTATACAAACTGCTTAAAAAGGACGCAATTATGCAACCAACGTAATATTTAAGCAACATGCGGAGCGCAGCCCCGGGATAAAGAGCCGATTGTGCCTGATTCCAGTTATGTAACGACATGGTGGCATCCATAACACTCTGCTGCGCAGTAAAATACAGACGATATTAATAAAAGAAGTGCTGATTTAATTTAGAGTGCCTATCATTTATATTCGCGGTCTGAGCTGCAGTTAAATCTGAAAAGCTAGTTAAGCCTCAGCTTCGAGCAGCTCATTGATCCAAAGACAGACAAATAGAGACAGATACTGAGTAGCCAGCAGGCTCTAGAGCGCCAATGTTCACTTTAAATTACATATGAGCCTTTCTTTGGGGGCTGGGGTTGTTGTAGCAACCGGTTTGAAGGTGCAATCGGGATGGTAAACAAAGGATGTTAGCCTGAACATTCCCATTCCCACTCTTCCGCCTTTCCACTGCGGCCCTGTAGCGGGAAGGAGCGTCGAAAGCGCCACTTTAACAACAGAACTCGATGTGTTGACACAAACCTGCTTATGTTCCAGTTGCTGCCTTATTTCCCCTTTCAAAAACTCTTGCTTAGTCGTAAAATCAACGTTCCTCTCCTCCTGTGAACTTGGGAACTTTGGGAATTCCGAGCTGCGTCACGTCAACCGAATAAAGGCCTTGTCCAATGGGATTTCGGGATTGATCCAGGAGCTCCCGCCCCCGGATAAAGGCTAGACCAATCAGAGAGAAGCGTGGAGCCAGGAAAGATACGTGATTGACGCACGCAGGTGAGGGAGCGGAAAGTGATGGACGGAGCTACTTCTTGTGGGTTTATAATAATACAGCTTCATGTGTGACCCCGACCTTCAGGATGTATGTGGTCCCACATATTTATACACCAGAGGGAGCGGCTGCACAGACCAGCCGCTCACTGACACGTCTGCACAGCTATATTTGACTGTGGGACTTACCAGAGTGGACAACCCCAGCTCTCCTGTTGCTGCAGAGTGGACACTGCTTTCATCATCTGATTCCCTATCCTCTATAATTAGTTTCAAGTGTTTAGACTGAGAGGAGCATTTTTTTGCCTCTAGATCTAGACATAGACAGATTTTATTTTGTAATTTTGTATACACATGTGTATATTTCATTTTATTGTACATTTCATTAAGTACAGCTCTCTAGACTATTTAATTTTTTAAAGTTAAGCCTTGATAAAGCTGAGCAGCAGTGATAAAAACATTGTGACTAAAATAAATAAATAAATAAAAAAACTTGGTGAAAAATAGTGATGTAAACATATGACTATATAGTTACAGTTCCAACATTCAGTTTTTTTTATTTTTATTCTACACTTTTAGGAACCAAAACATACATTATAGCTGCTATAGCTAGTCCTTCATATTTTATATAGTTGAGTCTAATGTATCTTCATGCTAATTTAAAAGCAGAAAGCTTAGGCTAGAGCTTGACAGGCAGTAAAAGGAAATCACTAATCAGAGAGCCACGTTGGAATTTGAAAGACATTGATATTGAAAAATGTATGAAAAGCTTTAAAACTATTATAAAGACACACTGAAGAGTATAATTTGCATTTTCAGTTTAATATTTATTGTTAAATTTGTACAAAAGGAAAATTATCAGAATGCAAAAAAGTTAAATATACATTAAAGGTATAGTTGAGGATGTTCTTTTTCGGGGTGGATCATCAATATAAGTGGTCCTCCTAATTCTCAATCTTTGGTGGTATGTTTACGTAAAGCCATCCTACGTGCTTGTCCCAATTTTCTCTTACCAGAGGTGAGTCTGACATAGTGGAAAAATTGCAAATCCTCTTTTGGAAAGTAAGCTTGTATGAGCGATGCGTTAATAGGTGATCCCTCTCAGGAGCAGATACAGGGCTGTGCATGTACATTTTTATTAAAAGTGGAGAGGGCAGGTCTTCTCAAAAATTCATTAAAAGACCCGCCTCCACCATACCTTTAATTTTAAGCTTTAGATTAAAAATCTTCTTATAAAAATAATAACAGCTTATTTAAAAAAAAAAAAAAAAAAACAGCTGTATCTATGTACACACACATAGAAAATAGGTTTTGGATATGGAAAATATAGTGTTATTAGGATTCACTATAACTTTATTAAAGGACAGATTATTTTTATGCTGGTCCTATGAACTTATTTTTCATGTATGTATAAGTGTAATAACAAAACATTTATTATTAGTGTTGCTGCTTCAGGCTGCTCATGAGAATGATCAAGATTTATAAATGTCTTTTAATGATTGCAGTTTAATCTGAATATAAAAATCAAACAAAACTTTTTTAATATCAACAAAGATTTTACACACACGCCTTTATCCATTTCTCCTGTTTCTCCTTTCTTTCTGTTCCTTTTTGCCGTACACTGGAGCCACCGGGCCTTCTGACCACCATCAATAGGCAATGCAGGTGAAGTGTCTTGCCAAAGGACACAATGACACTGAAAAGCCAAGGCAAACTCCTGCACCCAACACCACTGTCGCTCCCAGTTTTCTTGCTAATTTGTTTTAATCGTTATCTTTATGTCAAATGGCCCGCGCCTGGCACTTATTCATGCGTTGGTTCACTGTTTACTACTAAAAAATGAGGGAGAACACAAAGATCATTTATTTTAGACTTAGACAAACTTTATTGTCATTTTGTAAACAGAGTGTATAAAAAATGAAATTTCGTTTTGTAAAGCTCTCATTTCCATTTCTTACAGTGCAGCAGTGATCAAATGTACACATTGGGAGGAAAAAAACATGGTGCACAAAACGCATCGATATAGTCAGTTTGATCCAGAGACTGTGACATGATGTAGAGTGTCTTCAACATTAAGCTGTCTGATGGCGGTGGGGAAGAAGCTGTTTTGGAATCTGCTGGACCTGCATTGAATGCTGAAAAGTCTCTTCCCAAAATGCAGCAGGGAGAACCGTCCACACTGGGGGTGTGAGGGGTCAATGATATTTTTTAAATTAATCAATGTCTAAAAAAGCATAATTAGCACTGGGATGAAATGTCTTTTATGGAAGGAAGAGGAGCCCAGAGGATCTTCTCTGCAGTTCTCACTACTCTCCTCCTCTTCCAGTCTGTGGCGCTGCAGCTTCAAGACATCGCCGTGAGACAGCGGGTCAGAAAGCTCCCTATGGTGCTTCTGTAGAAGGTCGTGAGGATGGGTGGGGGCAGGTTACTGCTGGATTTTCTTTTGATATATGAAAAATATAACGGGACATACGTTTCTTCTTCTTTTGGGGCCCCACTCAGTTAAGGACCCTTAGAATCTTCCTAACTGACCAACACAAATATCTGCCCCCACAATGTCTGTAGATCTGTCTCTATTATTGGTTTGATCTTAGTACATATTTCCATGCTACTACACCAAATCCTGTATTGTACTCTCTCTGCATGGAGTTTGCAGGGTTTGCAGACTCTATGCAGATGCAGACAGGTCTCTGTAAATTGCCCACAGCTATGTGGTTGTTATTCCTTTAGATCGCCATAAAATTGCCCAGCAACCTTGCAAATGGCGATATGGTGAAAAAGATGGAGGATGGAAATTGTGTTTAAAGAGAGAAAGAACATATTTGTCATTGTAGATTTTGTTTAAGGGTACCAGAATAAATGAATGCAATAATATGTCACACTTTTGACATGTGAAATACTAACTACATACTACTTTAGGTTATTTTATATGGATTGAAAATAGTGGGTGTTTTTTTTTTTGTTATAACATGGCAATGTGTGAAAAAGTGTTAAGTGTTTGTGCAGTTCAAGAAGGCACTTGATGATGCAATGGTCTTTGAGGAGTTTTTTCTTGTTTTCTTGCTAAATGCATGAATTCTCCAAACATAACAGTTGTGCATATTGAATCTTTCTCTGTATTCTGCCAATAGTCAGTACGTAAAAGAAAATTCATAATCAGAAGTGTGCATGTTTTAAACATCTAGATGTACTTAACATTGAAAGAATTTGTTTAAAGTTTGAGGGAAAAAAGCATACTTCTAAAGAAGCACAGAAACCTGCTCTATTTCTTGCATTTCACAAGTAGAAATAAAGCTTTGAAAGTATCAGCAGAAAACTGATTTACTTATTGTAGATAGAAGTCTGTTATTACACTTAAGAATGTTAGTAGACAGTTTTTTTTACTTGCATCAAAAGCAGTTATTTTGCTGTTATCACCAGAGGTGTCATAACGTAAATTAAAAGGTTTATGTAAGCAAAAGTTAACTAAAGAAATTATAATTTCAATGTCTCAATTGTTACATCTCCTGGAGCCCAAAGCTCCTTTTTTTTCAGTGTTACTTTCTTTTAAAACAAACGAAAAATGTCTAAATTACATACAAATAAAAGAGACAATAAATCTTTCTCGTCACATTATGTGCAAATAAATGAAGGAAAGTGCTAGATGTTTTTACCCCTAGTAAACCATCAACAAGGTTGTATTAGCCAATAGAAAAGCTAGAAATAAATTACGTCATTTCCTCTGACAGAATATGCTAGCCAATGAAATGAGGTGGTTCCGTGAGAACAGCCAGTGAGAGGGGAGTTCTTCCGTCGGGTTGACCAATGGGGAGACGCCAGGTCTTTTTGAATGGAGAAAAGCGGGCTGGGAAACAGTCGCGAGGGAAACAAAGAAAGAGCAAACATCTCGCTGTCGCTTGAAGTGGATAACTTAACGAAAACAATATATTTCCGAGCATTTTAACTAGACGCTTTCATACGGTAACTATGAAACGCATTTGACGTAGTTTTTCAACGTTTAGATAATGTTATATACTGGTCATGCCAAATTAATTCAAGCAGTTAGCCTAGCCACAGCGCTTGCTTTGCTTAAAGTTGCTGCTAATGTTCTTAGCTTCGGGTTTCTCACGATGCTAACTAATGGTTGAAACTGTTTTTCCCCAGACCTTCGCCATGTCTCACAAACAGATTTACTACTCTGACAAATATGATGACGACAAATACGAGTACAGGTCGGTTTTACTTATATATGTTTATGTTTGTCGACTTCCTGTTATGTAACGTTTGTTTGACACACTTTTGTGTTTAGCGTAGCCTATTGTAACGTGATGTAAATGTTTGCCTTTCAGGCACGTAATGCTGCCGAAAGACATCGCAAAACGTGTACCAAAAACTCACTTGATGTCCGAAACCGAGTGGAGGAACCTGGGGGTCCAACAGAGCCAAGGATGGGTGCATTACATGATCCATCAACCAGGTATGTTTAATTCAGTTTAACAAGTCTTGGATATATAGTCAGTTGTGCATTTTTACACATGTTGGCTGCAGTGTTGATGTTATCAAATATAGCTTACAAACAATACTTGTAAAGTAATAGTATTAAAACCGTCTGTTTAGGGGAAAAACGGTAACTTGTGGCAGTTATAATCATGAATATTTATTAGTTTTCTGAAAACTAGCCAATACAACAACTCTTAAATTTCCAGAACAACAATTGATATTGTGATGGAGGAAATTGACATTTTGCATTTGTTTATATAAAAAAAAAAAAAAAAAAAACTAGCTAAATTCTCTAGCCAAACATGTCTAAAGTTGTACTGCCAAGTAAATCCTACCTCTAGGAAGTTGCTGTTAAGATACTTTTTGTGTCTGATCTCTTGCCAAACCAGTGATTAACTATTTTATATTATGCCAATACCTATTATTGGACAATTGTCTAATAGATCCCTGATAAGTGTTATTATTGGGCTGAATCTTTAAGCTAATATTGACTTTTTTCTTTAATTTAGACGAATTTACACGCAAA